CCCCTCAGACAGAGGGCTTGTCCTACTCCATGTGGTTTGGGGCAGTTACCTGTCTCCCAGAGCCAGTGTTCTGAAGGCCGGTTAGGAAGCTGCCAGGCTGCTGTGACCTCCTAGCTCAGGGATTCAGCGGTGTGAAACCCTTTCCGGTGGTTTGGTGTTCAGCAGCAAAGATGTTTCAACATGCAAGATTTCTCACGTAGACCCTAGATGTCAGTGGGATCTCGAGTGGACAAGCCCTGTCTTGAATTGCCCAAGGTGCAGCAGTGGACCCCATCATTCACACACTTTGTCAGCCTGTAAGCCTGAACAGGTGTCCCCCCTTCGCTGTGTTTGGGGTCTCAGGAGGGCCCCCCTCTAATCCAGATCTTTGTGGCTAGAGACCCTCTTGAGTAACTAGCCCCGCCCCATACCTACAGCTCACCGGGCTATGACTTGTCAGAATGTCCGTCAGGGGAGTTTGGTGTTGCGGAACACTTGCATCTGTGGCCCGCCAGGACCTTGGCCTGCCAGTTTTGGAGAGGCAGTCCCCGTGGCCTGGTATAACAGGACACACCAACCTCAGAGTTGGCCTTGGGCAGACAGCCCCACCTTTTTGTTTTGTGTTGTTTTTTGTTTGTTTGTCTTTCTTTGGTTTTTTTGAGACAGGGCTCTGTGTAGCCCTGGCTGTCCTGGAACTCACTTTGTAGACCAGGCTGGCCTCGAACTCAGATACACCTGCCTCTGCTTCTCAAGTGCTGGGATTAAAGGTGTGTGCCTGGCCAGACAGCCCCATCTTGTCAAGGTGGAAACAGGTCCTTTAGGGCCAGCAAAGCCACTGCTAGGTGAGCGTTGGGCGCCAGGGCAGCCCCTCTTGCTGTCACATTGCCTTGGGGCAGCAGGACTCCCTCTCTTTGTTGTGCTGGGACATCTGAGCCTTCAAGACCCTGAGAGAAGCAGTCAGGACAACCTGCTGTCTCTCACGTGTGGGGCACTCTCAGCAGCCTGAGTCCCATCAGTCTCCAGTGCACAGCTTTGGAGAGTGCTGATGCCTATAGGAGGCAGCACTGGGGGGGGGGGCAGTCCCCGGCTCTGAGTAGAAGTCGCCACATGATCTCTCAGTCTTGGTGAGTCCAGCTCTCCCACTCTGGTGGTGGGAGCACTTGTTCAGGATCTGCCAAGCAAGGTGTCCCGGTCCTCCTGTGCCCTCATTGGGAGCTGAGACTGTGTCACCTATGCGAGAGGGATATACTCAGGGTGGGGAATCCCTCCTGTGAGTCAGAGAAAGATGTCCCACCTAAAGAGGAAGGCAGGCAGGCCTGTTCAGGGGGCAGGCTTTCCTTGGCATGTCATCTGTCCATCCTGTCCCATCTGTCTGTGTTCTTCTCACCACAGACATATACTAGGTGACTAAGGCCACATTTGCCAAGCAACACCTTGGGGCCCCTGCAGGTCTGGGGACCTCCCTCAGGTTATGTGCCATGGGGCCAGTGAATGTACATGAGCCATTCTGAAGGCAGAGGGCCATTGAAGGGCGATGGAGACCAGGCTGGACAGGTTTGGTGGACAGGATTTGGTGTGGAAGTCAAGCTAAAGCCAGTGTGTGTTGTGGTCCAAGGTTTAGGTGCAGAAGGGTAGTTGGGTGAGTCATAGTTTAGTCATGCTGGGCTCCAGTGTTGGCCCTGAGGAGGACGTGTCTTTGGGCTGTAGGCCATGGTTAGCTCAGAGCCCCCATGTTTCAAAGACCCCATTGCGCAGTTTCTGACCTTAGGGGCTGTGTTGTTCGTGCCCAGTGTGAGTCTGGGCAACCATTACTTGGAACCTTTTCTTTGACTTTCTGTAGTTTGAGATGCGTAGGAGTGCTCTATGTTTGGCGTTTGTGGGTCTTCTTGGGTAAGCTTCCCCTTAAATAATTTTCGGGCTGTTATTTCTTTAGTGCTTCTGTTCTGTTCCCACCGGTGAACTTGTCTTCTCTCCTGTGTCCTGTGGGTTCCAGTGGGCCATGATCCTAAGGACAGAGCCACTGTTTGTCATAGTCAGAATCTCTCCCCACTGCTCAGTGGGTGCCAAGATGATACAGGTTTGGGAGGACAGGGTTTTCTCTGGGCCCCAGGAAGCTCCATTTGAGAACCACAGAGGTCCAGTCCCTGAGGCCAACTCTGTGTCTCCTCTGTGAAGCTCTTTCCTCACATCAGCCTGAGGGGACATGGATAGGAACTGAGCGCCTCCCCTGGCAAAGTCTACCCTGTACAGGTGCTGGTGACCAGGCCAGCCTGTCTCCAGGGGTCTGTGCTGGTGACATGCAGCCACTTTATCATCGTGTTTCGCTGTGTGCTCATCGCAGGCAGCAGGACAAGTTCATACAGCTTCCAGATAAATGCAGTTGTCCTAGGCGGCCTGGCCACGACAGAGCCATCTGCATGCCACCCTCCATGCTCCTCTTGCTACATTTTATTCTCCTGCCCATGGGTTTTATAAGTTAAAAGTCTCCCTCCAGTGCCTGTTAGTTTGATCCCACGTGTGCCTGTTCCTAAATTAAAAGCTTTGTAGAAAAGTACAGAGAATCTTGAAGGGACTTTTGTTAAAAAGCTGAGCTTTGAAAAGTTTTTTAGTTTGGAAACGAGATGGGCTTGTGGCTTCTCCGTTTGTGAGAGGTGACCACAGGTGACCGGGGGCCTAAAACACGCACAGTCCCCTGGAGGCTGCCCAGGAGGGGCCTTGGGGTGAGTGGAGCCTCCATTTTCTGATAGCACCTGAACCTTTGCCTCTCTTCTCAAAATGAAGGCTGTGTGTCACAAACTGGTTAGAACTGCCCGTTGCCATGGTTTTCACATTGGAAGGCACAGTTAAAGGGTCACATGACCAAGGAGGGAAATGCCTTTGTCACATGACTTTTTGGTGGCCTGATTAGCATAGAGGAAGTTCACTCCCGGCTTGTTGCGGCTGGGATGCTGAGTGATTACTGGTAGTGACATCACCTCTGAGGTGTGTTATTGATGAGTTTGGGCCCAAGATTGGTTCAGAGAGCACAGTGGTCAGGGCTGGCTGTCTTCCGAAAGTAGGCCTCAGTCCAGAATGGTCTTTGTCCCAGCCCTACCCCTCATTCCTCGGGCAAATCGCAAGTTTTATTAAGCGGTCCTCAGGAAGATAGAAAAGAGATAGACCCTGCAGTTGGCTGTCCTTCAGTTCTGTGCATGCCCAGGAAGTGCAGTCCTGGACTAGAACTCTGTCCTGGGTGCCTCTCAGGCCCGGCTGCTCTGTCCAGTACCACATACACAGCGCCAGGCTGGGCCTCTGCTGCTGCACAGTTGATGGTGTGCACAGCCTGTGGGCCTGGAATCGGAGCTACCAAGTCACCTTGAAAGCTGATCTTTGGCAGTGTAGGACCTATGGGACCATCATCCAGGAGAGTCAGACCTGGAGTATTTGAGACTGAGGGAGCTGCCTAGCGTCTCAAATTTTTTTTAATGATTTATTTATTTTATGTGCATTGGTGTTTTGCCTGCATGTGTCTGTGTGAGGGTTTTAGATCCCCTGGAACTCCAGTTACAGACAGTTCGAGCTGTTGTATGGGTGCTGGGAATTGAACCTGGGTCCTGGAAGAACAGCCAGTGCCCCTAATTTCTCCAGTCCCTCCAGGGTCTCTTTTAAATGACTAGGCCAAAGCCTGATATTCAACAGTCCGCAGACACTGTGGACCCCAGGCTTGGGCTTTCAGACTTTGTCCTTGCCCCTGGCCTGACAATCTGGAAGCCACTGCCATTGTTGGTGTGTAGCTGCCATGTGCCTCTGAGTGGAACCAGGAAGCCAGAGCCACATCTGGCTGGTCAGCCTCTGTCCTCCTTCCTGAGGACTGTAGGTCCAGAGGCTCTTCACTCAGTGACGCATCTCACTCTGCTCTGGCACAAACCACTGCGTGGACTGTTAACTTTATCCGTGCTTGTCTCCTGTGTCACAGTGCCACCTAGTGGACGTGTTCTGAGCTGCTTTCCCACAAGTGAGATGGGAAATGGGTCCTCAAAGGGTGTTGGGGTACACACCCAGGGGCAGTTTGTAGCCCGCCCTCTATTCACAGTACCTTCTTTAGAATTTGCTGCCCCTAACCATATGGTACGGCAACAGAGCACATTTGGCCCTGAGGCTTTAGAAGTAACCCATGTGTATGCCCTCTGACACCCTTCACAAAGAGGGCAGTCGAGTGTCGAGTGCTCCTGTGCGGGTTAACTGATACAGGCTTGCTGGGCCAGCAGCTCAGAGGCCGGCAGCCCCCCGTGCCACTCCTGCCACAGCCAGCTCCTAGGGAGCTGTGTTTGACTGCTCATTCACAGGGAAAGTGAGCTTCCTGCCCACTGTGGCATGTGTATTAGAAGGTTGGGTGACAGTGGTCAGTGTCGCATGGTGTGGCTTTCTCTAAACTTGGAGGAGTGTGCAGGGTTGGGGGCAGAAGGCAAAGTGTAGTGAGTAGGACAGCGTTGGTATCCTCAGCCCGAACAGTCATACTCTGCAGACCTGAGGCTTGAGACAGTGGTTCTTTCGAGTTTCAAAACCTGTGGTCACTTGCCATGTGTGTCCTAGGTAGGTGGTCCCACAGATGGCCCCAGGTTCCCTTGTGAAAAGCAAAGGCCAGCAGCATGCCATTGAGCTGTTGTGGTTTTCTGGGGGCTGTGTGGGACTGGGTTAAGGGAGGGGTGGGCTTCCCATTGGGTGGTTCCCAGTGTGAGCATGTGGGAGCCCTTGGCTTCGGAGTGCTCACGTCCTATCCTGCCCAGCACTCAGAAGCTGAGATCTGCAGCTCAGTGTTTACCCACAATCTAGCTCCACAGTAGAGTAGCACTTTCCGCAGTGTCCATGATACACCAAGTACTCACAGGCAAGGCACATGATCTGGAGTGGACAGCCACAGTGAGAACATCCATGGTGCAGGTAGCAAGAGGAGATACTTGGGGGCAATAGGGCATCTGCAGGAGGCTGGCGGGGTGGAGTGCTCTGCTCTGTTAATCCCTGTCACCTGCTCCGTCTGACAGTGACATTAAGTCCGAGAAGAGGCCCCCCTCCCCTGATGTGATCGTGCTCTCTGACAGCGAGCAGCCATCGAGCCCCAGGGTGAATGGACTGACCACAGCAGCCTTGAAGGACACCAGCACCGAGGCGCTCCTGGTGAGCCTTTGCAGGGCCTGTGCCCATGCCTGGGAGCCTGGCCAGCCCAGCTTTGCAGAGTGGCCTCTACTGAGGCTTTCCCCAATTTTGTGCTCTTGCTTTCATAGAAAAGCAGCCCGGAAGAGCGAGAGCGGATGATCAAGCAGCTGAAGGAGGAGTTGAGGCTAGAGGAAGCGAAGCTGGTTTTGTTGAAGAAACTACGACAGAGTCAAATACAAAAGGAAGCCACGGTGCAGAAGGTACGTGTGCTGCCCACCTCGGAGCCTTGTCAGAATCTGGGCATCCCAGGATTAGAGGGGTTGGCCCAGGGCAGAGGCCCAGCCCACAGGGTGCCTGGGCATCAGGGAGCAAGCAGGAGATGATTGTAGGGTGATGGTGTGTGCAAGACCGTCCACCCACCACCTCCTGCTGATGCGCCCTGCTGTCTTACAGCCTGCAGCTTCCTCAGGGAGTGCCGTGACCACCCCTCCCCCACTCGTGCGGGGTACCCAGAACATTCCTGTTGGCAAGACATCACTTCAGGTTAGTGTGTAACCTTCTGCCTGTTGCCCAGGACTACCACTACTTATAACCAGGCTCCTGAGCAGCCTTGGTCCTGTGGAAGCAAGGGCTGCCTATTCCTTCTGAGTAAGGTAACATGGAGCCTCCTTCTGAGTAAGCAGGCAAGGACCAAAGTGTCATGTGTACCCCAAACTACCCTACTAACCAGGCTGCTGTCAGTGTCACAGACTGGTCAGTGGTGACCAACCAGTGAGATTGAAAAATGGCTGAGCAGGGCACTCTTGAGGTGGACTTCACTGAGGCCTCTCAGCTCAGGCTTCTGCCCACAGGCTTTGATGGCTCTGTCACCCTCATAATTCCTTCCGCTGGGTTCCCAGTAGAGTCAAGTGTACAACAAATGGGTGTTTTAGCTGATCTTGAGGTTTTGTGTGTTGGTTTTTAATTTGTTACCTTAAAACAGAAACCAACCTAGAGCTGTGGCTTCATGGGTATGTAGAGTGCCTGCCTCGTGTTACAAAGCCCTGAGTACCACATAAATTAGGCTGGTGCCTCAAACTTGTCATCCCAACACTGGGGAAGAAAAAGCAGAGGGAATTCTGAAGTACAGAAAATAAATGTGATTCTGGGCCTCACTGTCATCGACAGACCTCCTCTGCTCGAATGCCTGGCAGCATCATCCCACCACCACTGGTCCGAGGTGGGCAGCAGGTGTCTGCCAAGCTGGGACCACAGGCCAGTTCCCAAGTAGTCATGCCGCCGCTTGTCAGGGGGGCCCAGGTGAGTCAGACTTGTGTGCTGGGTGGGGTCAGGCGTTCACCCATGGCCTGCCAGGCTTGGTTGGTCTCAGTGGCATTTCTTGTCCCCTGTCTCCCAGCAGATTCACAACATCAGACAGCATTCCTCCACGGGGCCACCACCCCTCCTCCTAGCCCCCCGTGCCTCAGTGCCCAGCATGCAGATTCAGGGACAGAGGATCATCCAGCAGGGACTCATCCGTGTCGCCAATGTCCCCAATACCAGTCTACTTGTCAACATCCCTCAGGTGAGGCTGGAACCTAGGTGCCAGGTCAGGGTAGGGGTGCTGTTAGATCTCAAGGTGTCGTTGTGTCTTCTGGGAGTGACTGGTGTCACACACTTGACTCCTGAGTCTGGTGGGGTTCTAGGTGTGAAGATCACGCACAGATTGACCTTTAGTAAAGTTAGGAAGCTTTTGAGAAAGTGTGGGAACTGCTTGGGGATTCAGGATGTGAGAGACAGCAGGCTTTGAGGAAAGAATGGAGAGACCACTAGAGGGACACCAGAGCCCTCTGGAGCCTGCCGTCCTCCCCGGAGCCATGCTGCAGTCCCCTCCCCCTCCTGCTGTCTGTGTCCTCAGGCTGGGAGGACAGCATGTTACAGATCCTCCCACAGCCCAGTGGGCTATTCTTAGCTGTGTGTTCCTCCACCTCTGGACAGAGTCTCTGAGGTGGGGAGGGTCTGTCCCCACCCCTGGGTAGTAGGATAGAAAGAAAAGGGCTAGAGTAAGGGTTTTGTCTGACAGATGAAATGACCCAGTCTGCAGGCCTTTTGCTGACAGAGAGTTCTTTCTTCCTTGTCGCTGCCCGCCCTCCTCGGCCCTCCTCCGACAAGACAGGGCTGGACTCTGGACAGCTCTGACAGAGGGGCCTTGCCTGTGGTAAAGTCCAGTTCCAGTGCAGACAATGACTGTCTCTGCCTCCTTCTTGGAAGAGTGTGTGTCCCAGCTAAAACCAAAGACTGGGGTGGCAGCTCTGCACAGTCGCCATGTCCTGCCTCTGCTGTGTGCAATGTGTCACCAGGGTGGGCTGGTAGTGAAGTCCGGGCCCCTACCAGTCAGAGGCTGGAAGCCAGAGCTGGATCCCCTTGCTTTGTGAGGGAGGCACCTGCATCTGGAGCCCCCACGGAGTAGTGTGTGTGGGCCTTGGTTGTCTGTTCACCTGGGGAAGGAGTGCTCGGTGCTCTCTGTATCTTGTGGAGATGTTGACAACCCCTACAACACCCTAGGAACCTGGCACTGGCATGGTTAGCCTGGGCTTGGGGATTGCAGCGGTGGGGGGGTTGGAGACCACCCTGATGAGGACAGGAGCTGTATCTCCTCATGGCCCTGTGCAGACTCAGAACCAATCGAGAAGTAGCACTCTGGGTGTAGACTCCACTGCAGCTTCCCAGCTTGGTCTTGCTGCTCTCCTGGGCATGCAGGGAGCTGGGTGTATAGAACCCTGCAGCCATGGACTTAGTCAAATTTACTTTTGTTGGTTTGGTTTGGTTTTGAGACAGGGTCTCACTATGTAGCCCAGGCTGGTCTCGAACTCCCAGAGATGTACCTCCGCTTGCCTCCCAAGAGCTGGGATTAAAGGAGTGGGCCACCATACCGGCTCAGATCTACTCTTGTAAGGACTGCAGTGTGCATCTGACATGGAGCCTGCTTTAGGTAGCCTGAGCCTCACCTAGTTGTTTTCCACAGCCCAGCGCAGCCTCACTGAAGGGGACAACGGTTGCCTCTGCTCAGGCCAGTTCCACCCCCACCAGTGTGGCCTCTGTGGTTGCATCTGTTGAGTCTCCAGCCAGCCGACAGGCTGCTGCCAAGCTAGCACTGCGAAAGCAGCTGGAGAAGACACTGCTCGAGATCCCGCCTCCCAAGCCCCCTGCTCCAGAGATGAACTTCCTGCCCAGTGCTGCCAACAATGAGTTCATTTACCTGGTGGGCCTGGAGGAGGTGGTGCAGAACCTGCTGGAGACACAGGGTGAGTGGGTGGCTTTACCTCCTGCTGTAGCCTCTGGCAAAAGGCATCTCAGGCAGCCATGTTGCCAGCGGTTCTACTGTGAAGTCAGTTCCTGGTGTGGTGAGGGGTGAGGTTGAGCATCTGCAGCAGGCTGACCCTTGGGTGAGGCAGAATTTTTCAAAGCCTCTACTTACTCTTCTTGGCCAGAAGGACAGATAGGGACACCTTTGCCTGGGCCAGGCTTATTTCTTTCCTGTCTTTGGGGACAGTGCGGATGGATACCTACAGGACCCCATTGAGACAGCACTAGACAGGAAAGGAGTGGGTGGACGGCCCCTTTGGCACCCAGACGTAGGCCAAGGGCCTGTGCATCTGGTGGTTGAGCTGTTAGGCAGGTTCAATGGTGGCCAGCCTCTCTCCCGGCACTTTGACTGTGGTCATCAGTGCTCGCTTTCATCTGCTCCTACTGTGCAAGGAGGAAGCTGGTGGGAGTGTGCAGAGCTGGGCCCATTGCCTTCCTGGAGGTGGGTTGTTGAGTGTGTGTTCCAGGCTCCTGGGACCCTCAGCCCCATACACTTGAGTTGGGTCACATGTACCAGCAGCCCAGAGCACTGGTGGCCAACAGACTCAGAGGTTTGCCCAGTGCATACTCCTCTGTAACTTTTGTAGCATCCCTTGAGCACAGAGTTGCCCTGAAGATAACCACCAGGCCCATGTGGCTAAACAACACCCTCTTTGGCCTGAGGTCAGTAACGTACACCTCTTGAGCTTTCAGAAGAGAGCGAGTGTGCATTGCCGGGAAGCCTGGGTGCCCGCACTCTGTTGTAGTGAGGTGACATTGACGAAGAACTGTAGGGAGAGGCGCTCATGCGTGCAGGGCACTGAGTGCACGCAAGTGCTGGCTTCCATCCCTAGCAGGCAGGGCTGCCTGGAATCTGCCTGTGGTAATAGTGGCAGCAGTCGTTAGACTAACTCCGCTGTTGCTCAGAACCAGAGCACTCCCCATCCTCATCCTGTCAGGCCCTTACCCTCCCTCCTTCAGTGTGCAGGGGAGGTGGGGCCTCCCCAGAGTCCTGTCTACAGAGTCCTCAGTGTGCATTTGTTCCTTGGCCCCCTCCATGCTGTGGCCTGCAGGGAGGCCCAGAGTGCATGTCCCCAACTCAGTAACAGCTGATCCGCAGTTCAGCCGGCCTTCTCCTGGGACCCAGGCCTGGTTCTACTGCCAGCCACACGAAGAGGAAGTTGCTTGTCTCCTGGCCTCAGCCACCCTCTGTGTTTGGGTAGCATGTCCCCACGAAGAGAGAGTGAATACCCACTTGCCTACAAGGCAAGTAACTGACAAGGCAGGGTAACTTTTGACACATCTGTTAGTTAGGACACCTGCCGTGGCAAGGCCAGGCCAGGCCAGTATCACAGGCCCCTCTGAGTCGGTACCAGGGATGCTCAGCCACAGCCTTTCTGAAATTCATCCACTGTGGCCTCCGTGTACCCACGGGAGGTTCCTGGCCAGGCCAGTGCCCTTTGACAACGTTGTTCATCTATTTCAGCGGGCAGGATCTCTGCCAGCACAGCTGCTGCTGTGTTATCCCGGGAGCCCTACATGTGTGTTCAGTGCAAGACGGACTTCACATGCCGCTGGCGGGAGAAGGGTGGAACTGTCATGTGTGAGAACTGCATGACGTCCAACCAGAAGAAGGCGCTCAAGGTGGAGCACACCAGTCGGCTGAAGGCCGCCTTTGTGAAGGCGCTGCAGCAAGAACAGGAGATGGAGCAGCGGCTGCTGCAGCAGGGCCTGGGTACTGCCAGCACCAAGGCTGAGCCCACAGCCCCACATCCCACGCTGAAGCAGGTGAGAGCAGAAGCCTTCACCATTCTTAGACTGCAGGATGTTCTGGAGGCGTCCCCTTCTGCCCACCCGCCTGGCGGTTAACTCCAGGCTAAATTGCACTTAATGGTAGCATTTGGCAGTGAAAACACTAATTTGCAGTTTCTTTAGATTTTGTAGCTTTCACTCCAGTGCACGGGCAAGTACTTCTGTCTAAAATGACCGCCGAGAGCCTTGCTGGCCGTTAGCAGAAGCTCCCTGGCCAGCTGAAGGAGAGGAGTAGAGTGTGGACCTGGACCTGCACCCATCCATCCTTTTTTTCATTTCTTTCCTTTTTTTGAGACAGGGTCTCCCCACGTAGTTCCAGCTGCCCTGGAACTCATTATGTAGACCAGGCTGGCCTTGAACTCACAAGAGACCTAGCTGTCTCCTGAGTGGTGGGACTAAGGTGTACGCCACCCCCATCCCCACCCCCACCCCCACAGTGTGCTGCTCCTTTTTGTGGTTTCTGTCTGATCACACATTGCACCTCACCAGAAACATTTTTCTACCATCTCCTGCAGTATCTGGAGCCGGCAGGTGTTGGCACTCACCATCATGGCCGGGCCTGTCTGGTAGGGCACCCCCAGCCGGTTTGGGTTAGTGCCACAGACCTTGCTGACATACCTTTCAATCCCATTTGTGTAGGTCATAAAGCCCCGACGTAAGTTGGCGTTCCGCTCAGGAGAGGCCCGTGACTGGAGTAACGGGGCTGTGCTACAGGTCAGAACCCGGCAGGGCCTCGCCCGGCTGCAGACGCGACTGCAGTCGCCAGCTCTCGCTGTGCTCGTGCTCCCCGCCCCGTCTCCTCCCTCTTCCCTAGTGTAACTCACACGGCTGTTTTCACTTTGGACTCTAGGGACCCAAGTGGGTGGGAAGAGGTCAGCCAGACAAGGAGAGGCTACTCCAAGCAGCCTGGCCACCCTGCCCGTGGTGAGCCTGGCCCCCTTTGTGTCCCGTAGGCTTCCAGCCAGCTCTCCCGGGGCTCAGCCACAGCCCCTCGTGGCGTTCTGCACACATTCAGCCAGTCACCCAAACTGCAGAATGCAGCCTCAGCTACGGCCCTGGTGAGCAGGACTGGCAGACATTCCGAGAGAGCCGTGGGTACCAGCAAGGGCACCACCTCCAACTGGAAGAAGACGCCCCTGAGTGCAGGTATGCCTCTGGGGACCTTCTGCCACTAGGCTACCCCTTCTTGTTTGTGGGGTGTAGTCTGGTACAAGCTGGTCTGGAACACTCAACTCACCTAGTTCCCCAACAGCATTATCAACAGTAGAGGGCCTGTGTCCCACACCCTTCTGAGACACAGCCTCTTGCTCCCATGCAGCAGGCTTTCTTTGGGGCTACCAACCAGCTCCCTAATCAGGACATGGAGATTTTTTTTTTTTAATTTATTTATTTGTATTTTATGTGTTTTTGCCTGCATGTATGTCTGTGTGACGGTGTTGAATACCCTGGAACAGGAGTTATAGACATTTGTGAACGAACTGCCATGTGGGTGCTGGGAATAGAACCCGGGTCCTCTGGAAGAGCAGCCAGTGCTCCAAACCGCTGAGCCATCTCCAGCCCCCCCCCCCCCATATATATATATATATTTAAATTAAAACTGCTTGGCCATTAGCTCAGGCTTCCTGCTGACTAGCTCTTACACTTAAACTCAGCCCATTTCTGTTAATCTATATGTTGCCACATGTTCTGTGGCTTTACCTGTGTGCCAAAACATGCTGCTCCCTGGACGGCGGGCTGGCATCTCCTGACTCAGCCTTCTTCTTCCCAGAAATTGACATGGAGATTTTTTATTAGTTATAAATGCTTGACCTAGCTTATGCTTGTTTGCCTATCTATTGGCCAGTCAGCTTTTTATTAGACCACTCAGGTGCCTTAAGCAGGCCAGGTAAAAGGACAACATCTTTACACCTAATGATGTAAACAAATGCAACATAAACAAATGTGACACACATTTACGTGGTTAAAGTTATATTCTTCAACACTCCCATCCCTCCTGGGACAAGTGACACCTTGCCTCCAGAAGAAGAGCTTCTTATGCTCCTCGCTTTTAGCCTGTCTCAGAATGTGAGCACCTAGCTGATGGGTGCTTACTTCCTGCTCACCCACTACCCCAGTCCTAGCAACAAACCCCTCGTCCTCCCTCGGCCCTTTCTTGAGTTTAGTGGTGCTTGGCTGCCCTGCTCTAGAGGTTAACGGTGCCAGCTCCCAGAGTTTGCCCCTTCGCTCTTCCACTGCCCTCTGCCAGTGGACCAGAGCAGAACTGTGAAGCCGGTGATGGGGTGCACCGTGCTGGGTGTCAGTGGGGCAGCAGTGCCACCCTCAAGGCACAGCTAAGTGGAGACCCCTGCAGGGGCTCTCAGCCCCCAGCCCTGCTGTCCGGTAGCCCACTCTGCTGGAGAAACAGCTGGAGGAACAGGGTGTGCCAGTGACAGTCAAGAGCCAGGGAGCCTTGGCAGGCAGTGTAGTTGGACTTTTCTTTGGGCGACTGTTATTTTTTATGAATGCTTGGCCTTAGCTTAGGCTTGTACCACCAGCTGTTTTAACTTCATTTAACCTGGCTCTGTTCTCTATTTTTTACCTTGGGACTTTGTACCTTTCTTTCGCACTGTGCTTTCATGCTTCCTCCATGTCCAGCTGGCTGACCCTTGGTGTCTCCTATTGTCTCCTTTTCTTTCTCCTTCCAGCCTAAATTCCTCCTCTACTTATTCTCCCTGCCTAGAAGTTCTGCCTATGCCTCCTTCCTCACTATTGGCCGTTCAGCTCTTTTAGCCCAGTCGGGTGTTTTAGGCAGGCAGGTAAAACAGCAACGCATCTTTACCTCATTAAGCAAATGCAGCACCTCCTTTACGCAGTTAAACACACACTCTGCAACAAGGCAGTGTAGAGGGGGTGGTGCACAGCGGTCGGGCACAGAGCCAAGAGCTGTGGGCTCGTCTGAAATGACCTCTGTGAGCGGGGCTTGATAGCACAGACCCGTGGTGCGTAAGTATGAGAGTAGACGCAGTGACACTCATCTGTGCCCCTGCTACTTGGGAGGCTGAGGCACGAGATGGCTTTAGCCCAAGAGTTTGAGACAAGCCTGGGCAATGCAGGAATTGCCGTCTAACTAAGAAGAGGAGAGTTGAGGGTGGAGCTGAGTGGTCAAGCACTTCCTTGGGGGCCATGAGGCCCTGCGTTCCTTCCCCGGCACACGGCTGTCATCTCAGCACTGGAGGGAGAGGCAGGAGACTACTAGGAAGCCAGCCTGGCCTAGGTAGTGGCTCTCAGAATCCAAGCAGTGGGCTGGAAAGAAGGCGTAGCAGTTAAGAGCATGGGGTATTCTTCTAGAGCACGCAACTGCCTGTGACTACAGTTTAAGGGGAGCAGACCTCCAATTCTGGCTCTCATGTGTGCTCTCAACACACACACACTCACTCATGATTAAAAGTAATCTTTTTGTTTTTCAAGACAGGGTTTCTCTGTGTAGCCTTGGCTGTCCTGGAACTCAGAGATCCACCTACCTCTGCCTCCTGAGTGCTGGGATTAAAGGTGTGTGCCACCACCCAGCCTAAAAATAAATCATTAAAAAAAAAAAAAAAAAATCCAGGGACTGGAGAGATGGCTCAGAGGTTAAGAGCACTGCTTGCCCTTCCAAAGGTCCTGAGTTCAATTCCCAGCAACCACATGGTGGCTCACAACCATCTGTAATAAAATCTGGAGCCCTCTTCTGGCCTGCAGGGATACATGCGCAGACAGAACACTGTATATATAATAAATAAATAAATAAATCTTTAAAAAAAAAAATCCAAGCAGAGCAAGTTTGTCATCCCATGGCCCCAAGTACTTAGGAAGACTGAGGCAGGAGGATCACTTAAGGCTTGTAGCTTGAGGCCAGCCTGGCCAGCACAGAGAACCTTAATGTCACTTATGTATACTGTCATACGTTGGGGAGAATTGCTTTTCAGTCACACACTGTTACACGAGGTTCATTGCATGATGCAGAAACCCTTGTTTGAAGTTTACTGATCTCTTAGCACCGAACCCTGACCACTGTTCCATACTTAGGGCACCTCAGTGAGGTCTGGGATTGAGATGATTGATGACAGGATGTAGGCTGTGTGGGTCATGGTCCTACTCATGAGGAGTCTTTTGGGTATGTGCTGAGGTGGGAGTCTAGATTGCATCCAGGGCCTGGTCAGCCTAACCTAACTGGATCGCTGCTGCCCATCACTGTGCTCTATTGCAGGTGGAACCCTTGCCTTCGTCAGCCCAAGCTTGGCAGTGCACAAGACCACCTCGGCTGTGGACCGTCAGCGGGAATACCTCCTGGACATGATCCCTCCACGCTCCATCCCCCAATCAGCCACATGGAAATAGTGGGAGCCCGGCCCAGCTGAGGACAGGCTCTCCGCTCTCCCGTGGCCCCCTGGTCCAGGACGCACAGACTACCCTCCTAACAAGTTGCCTGAGACAGCTCAGGCCTTGGCTATTTAGCCTTGCAGTGGCCGGAAGAGGGTGCCACCTTGGTGCCCAGGATCAGAACCAGGGACCTCCCCCGTGGGCCTTCTTCTTCCTTTTTGCCTTTAGTTTGCCCGACACCAGCAGAAACTCGGACCTAGGGGCCAGCTCTGCCTGGCCAGCATGGGTGGGAGCTCACCCTGGACACTGTGACATGCCCGGGCCAGCTGGCACCGGGGCTCCCGAAGTTGAGCCGGGGTTTTGTTCTCTTTCGGCTTTTCCCATCTTAGCTCCTCAGTCTCTGCCTCCTCATGGCCATCTATAGGTTGGAGTTTGGGTTTTTGTTTTTTCTTTTTTAATCACCTCATGATGATGATGGAATTAAAAGTGAACTGTGTAGACCCAGGGTCTCTGTTGTGCACAGTGTAGTCCCTAGCCCCAGAGGACACTCTGAGTGGCAGCACCCAGGGATGACAGGTGCCACCATGGGTCCAGGTGTGTCTTCGATGCTTGCTGCAGCCCCTGGCTTCCACACTGAGCAGAGTGAGTCTCGGGGGTTCCAGAGGGATGCTGGGCCCACTGTGCTGGAACCAGAGCTGGCTGCTGGCAGGGAGGCTGCTGGGTTATTTTTTGTGGTTTATTTTATTAAAATTTCTTTCCTTTTCCTCTTCATTTTGATGGACACAATCTCAAGGTGCACAAGAGGCACCCAGGTAGGCCCAGATAGAACCCCTGTGCCTGGGGTTGGCAGGGTTTACTTCCGACTCCTCAGGCCACAGGAATGTCTGCAAGGGCCAGGTCTACTTTAGTTTTGTTTCCTTCTCCCGTCGTCGTCGTCACTCTTTAAAAATTGGTTCCATGGTGAAAGGCAGAAGCAGCAGCGCTATGTGTCCAGCTCGCCCAGGGTGGCCTGCTGCATGTCTGCAGTGATTGGCTGCTGTCAGATCCCGACCAGCCCTGGCTTCTCTTGACACAGTACAGTTAGGGACTTTAATTTAAACCCTTGTTCTGCAGACCACCGCCCTCTGCAGATACGAACCCCACCTCCTCCTAATAAAGGCTCATTTAACCCCGTGCTCACTCGTGTGCAAATCCTCCGTCTCTAGGAATTGTTTAGACATACGGGAGTTACGAGTTTTGGAAAATCTTTTTGTGTGAAACCCAAGTTGCTCAGTGCTTTTAGGTTTGAGTCACTTCCCAGGGTGGATTTGGGGGAATGAACAGAAATTGACCCTTTTTGGGGGGAGGGGGCGTTTTTAAACCAAAAAAATACAAAAATATATGCAAGCATTTCTTACTTGAGTATTTGTGTGCCTGGCAAGTCAGTTCCTATTTTCTACCCTTCCTGAATGGCTGGCCTCTGCTCAGTGACATGGGCCAACATCTCCTGGCTCCTTGGAGCAACAGCACTAGGTGGCTTCTCTGCTAGAAGCCTTCCCAGCCAAGAGCCCTCAGTTCCAAGAAGTCATCGATCAGTTATTACCTGGCGCTGGACGAAGACCTCCACTTGAACTGACCGGGGGCTCTGTTGGCACACTTGTGACCTCTACCCTTCCAGCCTTCCAAGTCTGCTGTTTGCTCCCCATCCTGACATTCACCTGTCACCTAAGGCTTGTGAGCCCAGTAGCTTGTGCACCTCACGGGGCAGGCTACAGCAGGGGCCCAGGGCTCCTGTTCCCTCGCCGCCCAGGGATGACACTGGTAATGAATGCTCTGTGTAAGGAGGGCTGAGAGTGTGAGGTGCCTTAATTAACTGGAAAGTGCTGCCTGTTCCTTTGCACTGCACTGGTCTGAGCAGCAAGCCCTCATAGCGACGTTCGAGCTGAGGACTTGGCCGGGAGGACGAGGTGTTTAGGGTGCTGTGCCAGCTACAAAGCTGGCTCGCATCCCTATTCTGATGACCTGGGTCCTGGGTTCCTTGCAGCTCCTAGAGATCTGCCATCCTCTGCCTCCTGAGTGTTGGGATTAATGGCTTGCACCTCCACACCTGACTTTTAAAAACCTTAAAAAAAGTTAAATGTGGTTGGCATGGTACTTTCATGCCTATACTTGGGAGTTGAAGGTGAGGTGGTGGTCCCTACTTCATTGATTGCCCAGAGGCAATCACAAACTTATCAATGGCTCTGGTCAGTGGGGGTACATGTACAGGTTTGAAGGGACCAAGTGCAAGACACATGCCTATTGAACAACCACCCAGCTTGGTGCCCAGTTTGTGGGAACATCAGGAACCAGACCTCTGCCAGACTCCCAAGCATCACCTGGGTCAGGGGAACAGTGGCCCTGAGCATCCTGGGACCCCTACCCCCCACTCAGGGAAGCCAAAACTTGTCCCAGGCAGGAGGAGTGAGGGCAGTGCTGGCTGTAATACCCCCATACCACATTTAATTGGAAGCAGAGAACCAGGGTGAGTATCAGAATGAACGGTGTTTGGGAAAGGTGGACCTCACCGTTCCAAGTCATGTCAGCCTGAAGACCTTGGACTGTTGCCAAAACGTGGTTTCTAAATCCTCGTGTACAACAGTTACAGTAGTGCAGGGCGTGGGGGCTGGGGCGGCTGCACTTGTATTTATTGTGACTAAATCTTTGATAATTCTTGTTTTTGAAGTTTGCCACCAAACTGGAATAGATGTTCCAATAAATGAGCTGGAATTGGTAGCCTCCTTATGTTGGGGAATTCTGAGACCCTGAAGAACAATAAAGAAACGGACCAAATGTCACTGTATTGTTCTTTAATTTCCTGAGACCCCAGTATTTTGTCCCAACTTCTGGTGGCCTTTCTTAAAGTGGGGTGTGTGTGTGAAAGGTGGGGTGCACATGCCTTTCGAACAAGGCATCCTTCTACCGTGATGTGTGCCAGACCCTGTTTGACCTCAACAGGCAGGGGCTTCAGTGAGAATCCCAACTGAGTTCTGCAAACCTAGGCCACACTGCTGGAGTGACTGCTTTTCCCATTGCCTTGGGCTTCACTGTTGGAACGCTCCCCGCATGGACAGAGCTGTGGACTTGTCCTCCGTTGGTGTCTGCATCAACTTGAGATGCTCAGTGTCACATTGTGATTCTGTTTTGAGGCAGGATCTGCTTTAAGCCCAGGCTGCCTGTGAACTGACCCTCCTCCTCCCACCTAAGGGCAGGGAGGACAGGCATCTAGCACCATTGGAAACACTTGACTTAAAACATTGGACTAGAGAGGTGGCTCAGAGGTTAAGAGCACTGGCTCCTCTTGCAGACAACCCCAGTTTTGTCCCTAGCGCCTACACAGCAGCTCACAAGCATCTTCAACTCCAGTCTCAGGGATCTGATGCCTTCTGGCCTCCACAGGCTCTGAACACACGTTTACAGACATATATGCCCCCCCCCCAAAAAAAAGGCAGGCCTGGTGGCACACACCTTTAATCTCAGTACTTGGGAGGTAGAGGCAGGCAGATCTCTGAGTTTGAGGCCAGCCTGGTCTACATATAGAGACCACCTTGTGGGGAGAGAAGTAAAAAGGGAAGCTGGGCTTTTGGGTGCATACCTGTAATCACACTGCCCAAGAGGTGGAAGCAGGAGGATTGCTCCAAGTTCTATTTGGGTTACATAGTAGCCCAGGTTGGCCATGCCTCAAAAAACAAAAACAAATGTGAGGGTATGGCTCAGGAAAACTGGGATAACCCTATGTATGCTGTGAATGTGTTTATTACCATTGGTTAACCAAGAAGCTGCTTTGGCCTATAGCAAGGCAGGACAGAGCCAGGCGGGAAATCCAAGCAGACAGGGAGAAGGGCAGAGTCAGGAGAGACACCAGCAGCCCCTGGAGCAACAAGATGTACTAGAGAATGGGCAATGCCATGAAGCCACGTGGCAAAATATAGATGAATAGAAATGGATTAAGTTGTAAGAGTTAGTAATAAGCCTGAGCAATAGACCAAATGGTTTGTAATCAATATTGAGCCTCTGAGTAATTATTTTAAAAGCGACTGCGGGACTGGGCGGACAGAAAACCCATGCCTGGAGTCCCCCAGAGTGGGGCTGGGGCTTGCTCTGAAGGCGATCACCTGCCTAATCTCAGTAGGTTCTGGGTTCCAACCCCAGCACCCGAGGAGCAATGGGAAGCGGGTCATGTAGCTCAGCTTGTGTGAAGGTCAAGATCGGTTCTGAAGGTGCTGGAATCTGGAAGATGCTATAGACTCCATCTGCGGAATCTGCTGAGCTACACCCTTCCCCAAGTCTCAGGGATGGTGTCCTGCCCAGTGTTTTAGGTGCTGAGGACAAAACCGTAACCTCAGAGCCTCCCTGTTCACCAGAGGGTGGGTTGTTTCTGCCTAGGCTTTGGCATATTCCAGACAGCACTAGAGTTTAGGCCCCTCCCCTCTTGTAGCCTCAGTTTCCCCATCTACCAATGAGGCCGTTGGGGCCCAGCATGAGGACAGAGCTCACACTCTGGACCTCCAGAGCACCTGTGAGAGGAGAGCAGGGGCCGAGCACGGCAAGAGCCACGGCACGCAGCCCCTCAGACCGCCTGGGCCTCATACAGGGACAGGAGAGGGTTGAAAATGTTCCCCAGACAGTCACTGTCACCAAACCCCTGTAAAGTCACAGGCAAGACTCCCAGCTGCCTCCTCCCTCTTCAGGTCCCCTTTGAAGTACTGCATTAGCTCCCTCATGTTCTCATTCCCTTCCCCAGCATCACCCTGTCCGGGCTGTGTGTGTGTGTGTGTGTGTGTGTGTGTGTGTGTGTGTGTGTGTGTG